CACCGTTCCAGAGTTGTGCCCATGAATGGTCTCCATCTTGTTGCTAAGAGATTTATAAACGTAGTTTTGATATAAGCAAGCATTTTATAATTTTGACATCCTTATATCTATTCATAGTATCAGGATGAAATCATATTTTAACTGCTAAAGAATTCAGTTTCAAATGTTTGTCTCAATTTTGTAAAACCGGTAGCTTCATGATGATAACATTAATTTTAGCTTGATGTGTTGAAAGACCTTAATATATGTTTTTCATAGTTTTCCGTTCAATGAGTAACTATTATGTGAGGAAATACCTTAATATATGTTTTCATAGATTTCCCTTCAAGGAGTAAATATTGGTGTTGCAAACGTTTTCAATATATTGATTGCTTTATATATTAAATATAAGTGATCAATGGTTTTAACAAGATATGCATTTATGCAAATTATAGATCAGAACTCTCTTTGAGGCACACACTGGCGAATATGAAAACTGGCAATTGATAGATTCTTGAAAAGAAAAGATTTAGTCTCTGATGCATGATTTTTTATTATTAACTGTTTTTGGCTTTTGACAAGCTTTCAGTAACTGCAAGTATCATTAAATCGTACTTTCGTGTTAATTTGACTTGACACAATTTTTAATGCATTTTTGTTATTCAATGTTTACTTATTTGGTGTTATATCTCGTCTCACTATTCTAAATATGTACCACCTTTGATAAGCATTTAGTATGACGATAAATGTTCACTTCTGTACGCGTACTGTGAACAACAAATTTATTTATTTAAAAATAATATTTTCGTACCCCTAACAACAATATTATTTTATTTAAATTTACCTTATTTTATTTAACAGATATAAGAAGATGTGGTATGAGTAACAATGAGAAAACTTTCTATTAAACCATTTTGTCCCAGGTTAGAGTTTTTTTTTATATTGTTCTACAGCTTTATTTGTATTAATATTGTTTTTATATTGTGTCATAGATCAAACTTATTTGTTCAGTGTATGTTTAGCTGTTTCTGTTTATATGTCTTTGTGATCGAATTAAGCTATTTCAATTGATATTTTATAGTGTGTCTTTTTATGTTGTAATAGTACACTACTGTTTCAGGTTAGGGTGAAGGTTGGCGCCTGTTAAAACGTTTAAACCCGCTGCATTTGTATGTTCTGTATGCACCTGTCCTAAGTCAGGAGTCTGATGTTCAGTGGTTATCGTTTGTTGATGTGGTTCAAAAGTGTTTCTCTTTTCTCGTTTTTTATATAGATTGGACCGTTGGTTTTCCTGTTTTAATTGTTTTACACTAGTCATTTTGAGGTCCTTTATAGCTTGCTTTTCGGAGTGAGCCAAAGCTCTGTGTTAAAGACCGTATTTTGACCTATAATTGTGTACTTTTAACACATTGTGACTTGGATGGAAAGTTGTCTCATTGGCACTCATACCACATCTTCTTTTTTATATTAAATTAATTTTCGGTATCCTAGGTAACAGAACGGGAGGCTGCGTGTTTGAAGAAGTTTTTATTGAATATGTTACCCATGATCAAGGGTTTCGACCACAGTTCAACTTAAAAAGAGGACGATCATATATATATGCATGTTGACCAATGGAGGAATGATTTAATATAAATTGGCAACATTTCTGTTGTATGCCGTATTCTCTTAAATTTTATTTTCAATTTTCATACGTATTCCAGAAATCAATATTTTTAATTGATGTGGCTAGCTAAAGACTTTGACTTTGGTGCATTCATAATTATACAAACAATATCTGATAATGTCATATTGACTGTTAATGAAAATATCAATTTAAATTCAGCAAAATTGTTTCTTTTTTTAAATATTAAATCTTCCTCCAATAATCTTTCTAAAGCACATTCAACACTGATACAAAGTGACCATAAGTTGAACGAAAAGTAATTTTTTTTTTTAGATGAATCATTATTTTAGTATAAAGTTAAAATAAAAGTGTCTCACAAAGAGGAATTTCTAAATTAAACCAGCCCTTGAATGATATGATTACAACCAGAATTTAATTGAAATCGTTTTCATGACTACAAAGTTTGGTGTACCTTATACTTTTCCATTGACTAGTGACAAGGAAAATTAACCGGAAGTGACCCTAATCTAGAATCTGTAATGATAAAGATTATCTTATTCCATTACCTGTCGTTTCACGTGTCTACTAAGTTTGGTAATTCGTAATCTGAAATTCTCTTCGATTCTTAAAATTAATTATGGTCAAATGCAAACAAATCATTTGAACGTTCAATATCATTTAAAACTTCTTTTGCTCTATTTGTTTTTTCTGTACATTCTTCTTCCAACGTTGCAATTTTTAAAGCAATGTAACTGTGACAGTTAATATTATTCATAGAATGAACTTTCTCGTTTTCAGCTATCAAATGCTAAAAGAAAAGTGAAAGAATATACAAATAATGGAAACGCCAATAGTCTGATATTATAGATTTCCTTACGTACTGAAAGCTACAGATATAAGATAGTTATAAGTGAATGACTAATGTTGTTTTGACTGTTCGGAGCAATGAAAAAAACACAAACTTACATACCCATAACATAGTAACAAATATAAATCTCGATATTAATCAACAAGACATGGCAATCATCCACTTGTAATTTCTAAATCAATTAAAGGTATTTCAAAGTAACATAAACTCAAAATAGTTAACAGGATGACTAAAATTGAGTACGCCAATCGCGAGTTTCATCTACATCATCATTGATGGTCGAGTCAAAAAAGTTAAAGAGGCCAAATTAAGTACGATGTTGAAGAACATTGAGGGCCTAAAATTTATAGCACAAGAATTTATAAAGTATGGTTTGTACCCTAATGTCTAAAGACAAATATAACAACACCAAATATTGATGACAAATTCCACAGTCATACAAGTTCTTTTTTCTAAAAGTTAGATTGAATGGAAAGAAAAACGTGTTTATTGTAGAAAGCCAAATGTCCAAAAGTGTCTACATATCTTGCATAATACAATAGAAGTACACCAAAATGAATACCAGCAATCACATAAATATAGGTGCATATAGTGAAAAGTAAGATAACAAAAATATCGAACTCCAAAGAACATTAAAAACGGAAAGTCACTTAGTGATTGTTTACCAAAAAGGCTAGTAACATCGGCATCTGTGACTCTGTAAGTAATATAATACGTGTTACTTTAATACGACCACCTTTTTTTAAATGACATAAATATAAGTGCATATAGTGAGAGTATTAAATACCCTACATTATATCAACTCATCCTGACTGATTTTTTTCGAAAGTCAAATATCCGACTTCAAGTTTCCTCATGCTCAATTGAAAGATCGAATAAATCGCTTCATTTAACAGAGGTTGTCCTACCAAAAAGGAAACGTAGATACATTTCTTGCTGTAGGTCATTGAAAATCTTTCTTTGTGAAGAACCTCACTGATTCCGAAAAATAACACACAAAAGATGAAATTATCAAAATGCCTGATCTTTTGTGTTACGTTTTATGACCCCTTCTGTAGACATATGTATTACGAAATTTTCAAAGTGCAATAATATAAAAACAGCAAACATTATTAATACTAATGATGTGAAATTTTATACATATACCAAAGGGAAACATCTTTCAAAGCAATATTATTTATTGTTTTTTGCATTCAATAGAAAATGGGGATTTTGTGGCAAAATCCACAGATTTAAATACAGAGATTTTTCGTTTTAAATTTTAAACACAAATTACTCACTTATTTGTCCATGATATGCTAGCGTTTATTGTTTACAAAACTTTCTGAACAATTTTTGCATTCCAAAAAAACCTCGTGCTGAGCCACTAAAGTCGAGCGCACCCTAGAAGGTGTACTTGTATTGGTCCATATTAATATTTGTTTTAACCAATATCTTAATTTATAAACTTGTTTTAAGGAAACCATTTCTAGCACTGCATGAAGTAATTTATATATCAAGCACCGAACTGTCAAATACTAAAGTACGAGGGGAAAGGCTGTGGATTTTCTATGAAATTTCCATATGTCTAGCATTGAAACAACAAAAGGGTACACATTCCTTAACGACATCTTTGTTGAGTTTGGTGAATTGATATTTGGACAGACAGACTGTATTTCAATGGCTACTAATTATCACTTTTCTCGGCCGAATGTTTTGTACTCATATGAAGTAGAACACCTAAAAAAACCTTCTCAAAGTCAAAAAGAAAGGACATCAGGCAAAGTTATTTAATTTCACTTTCATACATATTAACGATGTTCTTTCAAACAATTAATCGCATTTTAGTGAATGCTTTGCTTGCCTTTTTGGGTTTAGCCAACAATTTTGATTCCAAAAATAAGGTCAGATGTACAAATTTTTATTTGAATATTCATTATGATTTGTAACTTTTTCTACTTTACTTGTTTTTCTGCTAATTTTTCGTTCAATGTTGCAAATTTCTGTAATGCTATGCAACACGTTGACAGATTATATTTCCAACAGCGTATCTTCTAATTTATATACCAACGAGTTTATTGCCGGTCGTTGCTCGTCGATATGATCATAAAATAAATATTTTTGTTGTCAACTTTGGCCAAATTTCTTATTCTGTCCTATAGCATAACCGATGTTCATTTCCACATCAATGAGATTTTGTTTTTAATATTATCTACCGCTGCTGACGGACTTCCGATTGAAGGTGTTAAAGTCTCTTTAATGAAATTTTTTTTGTAGCCCATATGACGTGGTATATAACATCAGCAAGTATATGACCTTTTCATTTAATTTTAAACATAGTCGAGCTCTCCATAGTTTTAATACATTGTAAGAGGCGTCAATTTTTCACAATTGCATATATAACATGTATAGTATCAGTTTCAAACAGTGGCAGTCCAATATTGCGGACAATGTTTCATCGCCAGTTTAGAAATATCGTTGTTTTGTAATATGTTACAGGGTGTATTAGAAGCAATTGCAATTTTCTTATTATTTATTTTGCAAAAATTTTATCTTTCTCATTTTCAGATATCAAATGATGAAAGGAAAAAGAAAGCAAAACAAATAATGGATAAGCGAATCTTCTAATATCATAGCTTTCCATACTTTCTCAAGACTATAGGAATGAAAAGTCACCAGTGGAATGACTAACGTTGTTTTAAATGTTCGGTTCATTGAAATAATCATATACTTACAAACTCTTGACAAAGGAACAACTAGCAATCTCGATATTTATCAACAACACATGCCGGTATTGATGAGAAAAACTTAATTTCTGTATTCTTTCAATTTTTAGAGCATTTTTCTTTATTTATAAAAAAAAAAAGAAGCTTATTCTGTGAAATTTGAAGAACATGATTTTACAAATCATTTTTTCTGCAATTACTTTATTCATTATAAATTATAATTGTTTACATTGTTTATTTCTGTAATAAGTATAGTATTACCAAATTCTTTTTATTTTTCAGTTATTCTTCATACTTTTGCACCCTTTTATTCTCTATTCTGTTCATCCAATCCACACCTTCGTACATGAAAATCTCGATTAAATTATTTTAAAGTCTCATAGCACAGAATGTATAAAGTATGGGTTGTTGTAAAATTTCTAAAGACGAATATTACAACCACGAATATTGAGGATAAATCCCACAGTCATACACGTTATTTTTTCTGAAAATAAGATTTAATGGAGAGAAAACTCTTTCATAAAAGAAGGCAAAGTGTCCTAAAGTGTCTATATAACTTGCATAATACACTGGAGGTACACCAAAATAAGTAATATCACATAAATATAAGTTCATATAGTGAGTGATTACAAATGGAAGTTATATCGTCCATTATTACTCTTGTAGTAAAAAGTAAAATAAGAAAAATACCGAACTCCAAGGAAAATTCAAATCGGAAAGTCCCTTATCAAATGGCAAAATCAAAAGCTCAAATAAAGGCAACAGTAGTATACCGCTATTCGAAATGCATAAATCGATTGAGAAAAAAAAACAAATCCGGGTTACAAACTAAATCTGAGGGAAACTCATCAAATATAAGATGAAAACAACGACACAACAGAAACTCAACACTAAAATGCAACACACAGAGAAACGAACTATAATATAACAATAACCATTTTTCTGACTTAATACAGGATATTTTAAGAAAAATTGGTGGGTTGAACCTGGTTTTGTGGCATGCCAAACCTCCCACTTTTATGGCAATGCTAAATATAACATTAAAATGACAAGATTACATGACATGACTAAAATACAAATAATCGGGAGAACATACAGGACAGAGACACACACAAATAATAGCTATCAAAAGGTACCAGGCTTATAATTTAATACGCCAGACGCGCGTTTCGTCTACATAAGACCCATCAGTGACGCTCAGATCCAAAAAGCCCGAAAGCCAAAACAAGTACAAAGTTGAAGAGCAATGAGGACCAAAAGTTCCAAAAAATTGTGCCAAATACGGCTAAGGCTATATGCCTTGGATAAGAAAATCCTTAGTATTTAGAATAATTCATACTTTTGCAAACAGTACATTTATAAAAAGGACTATATAATAGATATACATGTTAACACGGATGTGGTGACTAACTACAGAATAATAACGAATACATAAAACAACCTAAACCAAAACATAAAAAAGGCACAGCCGAACAACGTATTCTATGTTAGCCGAAGAAATCGACGCACAGTGTGACGTCACATTTAAATTTCTATAAATGTCCAAAAAATAGGATAGAGTTAAAGATTAGGTTTGTAATACTGATATAACATGTATTAATAACAATGAAAATTACAATACTTACAAACACATCAAACGAATGGACAACAACTGTCATATGCCTGACTTGGTACAGGCATTTCCTTATGTCGAAAATGGTGGATTAAACCTGGTTTTATAGCTAGCTAAACCTCTCACTTGTATGACAGTCGCATGTAATTCCATTATAATGACAACAATGTGTGAACAAAACAAACAGATACAATAGGTAAAAATGTCAAAAATAGGAGTACAGCAGTCAACATTGTGCTATAATCTTAATCACTATAAAACAAACAGATATGTCAACACAGAAAAACAAAATGGCATATAGACAAAGCACATAAGCAAAAATGAAAGACAAGAATACAAAAAAATGAACACAGTACAACAACACATTGGCGGGATGCATAAATACCGAGCCAAGGCAAAAGGATAATACCAAAAATGGACCAAACAGTAAAGGTTAATAATTTACAAAGACAAATTAAAGAACACTATAACACGTTATTAAGATGATAAACAACGTCAGTACCTAAAATCTATACTTCAATACGGAATATTAATCAAAAAGGTCTTGGTATCTTCCGTTGAATTTTTTTAGAACAAGGACGAGGCGTTCTTTGAGATAATCCTGGTTCATCATCTTTCTGCACAGACACTAGTGCTGTTTTATAAAGCCTGGGATAGCAGCTGCAAGCTCTCGAATACCAAATGAGTTGGAAAATGTATACCCATATGCAGGTGAAGTTGATTTATTGCTACTTAGGTGGGGAAAATTGATAATTTCAAAATTAAAATCGGCTCGTTTGTCATAGATTCTGGTACTAAGATGACCGTTTATGTCAAATTCGAGGTATAAGTCTAAAAAATGAGACAGAGGAAGTCGTGTCTGTTGTTTCTTTAATTTGTAGTTCTGGAGGATATATAAATGAAACCCAATCAGAAAGTTTGGATTGTTAATGGAAAGAACATCATCAATATATCTGAATGCGAAATTAAATGATCTGGCTTCTTTCATCTTCTTGTGTTTGACAAGTGTCTTAGGAACTCCGACTCATATGAAAATAAGAAAAGGTCGGCAAGGAGAGGCGCACGGTTCGTTCCTATAGGAATGCCGACAATTGCTGAAAAAGTCTACCTCCAAACTCAACAAAATGTTGTCAATAAGAAACTCTAGCAAACTGATCACTTGTTCCTTTGTGTAGCATTTACCTTTTTGTTCATAATTAACAAAATATGCCGTATTGTATCCCAAAGAAATAAATGTATAGCCTATGCTAGCATTCTTATATTGAAAAGCATTGTGGATTATTTCCTTTAGACGATTTATCAATTTCACATGGGGAATGGTGGTATACAGATTTGAAAAATCAAAAGTTTTGATAAAATTAATTTCAGAGGAAGATCGAGATTTAAAATTATGCAGAAGTTATTTAGAGTTTTTAAGAATCCACATATTGTTAATACCACTACGTGAGTAAACAGTTTCACAGTATTTTTGAAGACCCTCTATTACTGTGAACAGAATTTTTGTCAATCTAATGGACAATTCTTTTGTAGAACATGCAGATGAGCCGGCAATGTAGTGTTGTTTGTACGGAATTTTGTGAAGCTTAGGTATCCAATACAAACAAGGTAAGTCCTCAGATTTGCTATTTAATGTAATGTTCATTGAAGCCATGAAGGACTTATGATTCGCCAAAATCTCATCATTGTCCAATGATATGTTTTTGTATGTGGGATTACCTGAGTACTCATTTATTCCTAATTCTTTTACACGACACTCGTAGTAGTACGATTTACATGCAAAGACAATTGTTTGAAGCTTTGTCTGCAGGAACAACAACATATTTATCGTGAAGAGATGATAAACATTTCACAGCTTCTTTGTCTCTGACAACGGACTTTGGTCGATCATTCACACAGTTTTTCAACTTATAAATTCGACGTTTTATCAGAGACCTGACTGTTTTGACCCAATCTGACAAAAGTGTCCAGTTTAACTTCTCGTTTAGCCCATACCCTGGCGTAGTCTTCAATGGAATCCATAATTATTTTGAAGTTATGGTTCCAATTGATGTGATTGGGTTATCTGAACTTAGGACCTTGAAATATCACCTTTCGGATACTGTGGATTTATTATTGTTCGTTGGATACTAATTTTTGTTGATTTCGGGGTACACGTGAACCACGAATACAAATGTTCAACGAATTACAAATTTTTTATAGGCTTGTATGCAGTCTTCGGCAAAACCACGAAATTAAATATCCACGAACATGTTAGTTTTTCCTTAATCCACGAAAATTGGTACCGACGAAAATAAATTAATCCACAGTATGTTCATGTTGAATTATGTTTAGATCCCCAGTAAATACATGACCAGAGGGGCTGTAAATATAAGGCGAGTGGGAACAGTCACATTTCAGAGGGTTTTTTAGGTATTCTTCTACATCAAGGTCCTGCAATGCTTGCTTATAGTTAAATACTTTAGGTGCATTGGTTTTGGTGTAACTGTAGGATACAATAGGAACAGACTGATTTTGAAAATAAAGTGGAATTTTAGATGTTACCTCCTTGTGATGAAGAACGTTGCTTGCTGATGTTGATTGCATCAATTCCTTTATTTGAAAACTGAAGTGGAAGGAATTTCCTCTTTTCATCATGTAACCTCCTTGTGATGAAGAACGTTGCTGATAAGACCTACAAAGTTATTCAGTGGTCTTTGAACAACCATATCGCAAAATTTTGAGTATTTGTTTATTTAGATAGCGACAATAATGATTTTATTTTTGGCGACTGTCATTTTAACAGGATTATAGACGATTACACATTCTCGTTAAATAAATTTGCAGATATGCAAACCTTAATGTCTCGTCAAAAAATTGTCCGAATATAGTGAATTGTATAAGTTATTTGCCTTTCGTATCGTGTTCAAATGAACACTGAAAACATTAGGCCTTTTAGTTTAAAAATGGAAGTGTAATCGTATTGCAATTACTATAGTATTTTCGACCAAACTTCCATTGCATAAAGCTGCCAATTTTAAGCTATTTCTTCGGAATTTAAACACGATATTTATTATTATGCGCCTAATGAAGCTGTCTTGATTAATTGTATTCGTATATTTAATCTAAGTTATAACATTGAACCTACAGTCAAGGGAAGTAATTGATTAAAAAGGGCAAGACACATTTAAATCTCATTACTAAAGTACCTTACAATTTGCCATATGTGTAAATGAGGGCAAGAACAACTGTCATACGCCGTTCTGAAACCTCAGACATATTAGTTATGGATTCTTAAGATATTCTACCTTTTTAAATACCCTTTATCGCTATTTAGTCCAATCCGGAAATAAACAGTCACTTAGAAAACTTTCTGTTTTTGTCAAGTGTCGCAATATCAATGGTCAACAGCTATGACCTGCGGGAGGAAAAAGTGAACATTTTAATCTAATTTAATTTGTGAAACACAAATTAAAGCTTTAAAAATGCTCTGTTTGATGTGTTTACAATGGTTTAAACATATGTCTCTGTAGAAAGATGTATGCGAAATATATTATTCAAATTTGTTCATTCGACTTCTTTCGTTAACAATATATCGACTTGAAAAAATTTGACACGTTCACAATTGAACAAGGTTATCAG